TGTCATAGTCATGTCATATATTGGCGAGAGAAGAAATAACACTGCAAAGATTGATGAAATGGACATTGTAGCCATGGATAAGGCGATCAGTCTTATCTGGAGCCTAATGTGCCGATTTAGCACACCCAATGTGTTAATCAAGCAAATTGCTTCTTCAGAAATAGTCAGACAAAAACCTCCAACCCCTTGTTGGAAAGGTAAAACCCACTATAGTTTCCAATGATGCCAGCCAGTAGGGGTGCAAGTAAAATGTGGTTGTCGAATTCCATTAGTCCAACAATCCAGGTGGAATTTTAGATCTCTTTTTTGTTTACACGGCAGTAAAATAAAAATAATATTTACAAAATAATATTTTGAAACTTATTTTAGAAACTTTAAAGCTCCTTCTTTTTAGATAGTCTTATGTTTCATGGATGAAAAATTAAAGAACTACCACAGGTCATTCAAGAAAAGGCCTTTCTGAGTTAGTTGTCATTTGACAATTGAAATGACCTTTTCGAGTTAAAGTTTTTCCACAAATCTTACATAAAATCGGCTTTTCACCTGGGTGAATTTTGCTGTGTCTATTAAGGGCAGATTTATAAGTGAAGCTTTTTCCACAGGACAGACACTCGAAAGGCTTCTCACCTGTGTGACTTCTCATGTGGTCAGTCATATACCGTTCTGCAGTAAAACTTTTGCCACAAATCGTACATAAGAAAGGCTTCTCACCTGTATGAATTCTAATGTGTTTTTTAAGGGCAGATTTACAGGTGAAGCTTTTTCTACAGGATGGACATTTGAAAGGCTTCTCACCTGTGTGATGCTTCATGTGGTCAGTCAAGTTACCTTTATGGGTAAAGGTTTTGCCACAAATTGTGCAAGAGAAAGGCTTTTCACCTGTGTGAATTCTGATGTGTGCGGTAAGATAAGATTTCCTTGTGAATGTTTTTCCACAGGACAGACATTCGAAAGGCTTCTCACCCGTGTGAGTTCTCATATGGTCATGCAAATGACCTTTAAGAGTATAACTTTTGCCACAAATCGTGCATAAGTACGGCTTCTCACCTGTGTGCATTCTGGTGTGTGCATTAAGGCCAGATTTACAGGGGAAGCTTTTTCCACAGGACAGACATTTAAAACGCTTCTCATCTGTGTGACTTCCCATGTGGTAAGTCAAATAACCTTTTTGAGTAAAGGTTTTGCCACAAATCGTACAGGAGAAAGGCTTCTCACCTGTGTGAATTCTGACGTGTCTATCAAGGGCAGATTTACAGGGGAAGTTTTTCCCACAGGACAGACATTTCAAAGGCTTCGCTACTTTATGAATTCTGATGTGTTTGTAAAGGGCAGATTTAAAGCTGAAACTTTTTCCACAGGATAGACATTTTTGAGCCTTCTTACTTGTGTGAGTTCTAATGTGTTCCTTGAAATAAGATTTCCTTGTGAAGGTTTTTCCACAGGGCAGACATTTTAAACGCTTTTCACATGTGTGAGTTTTCATGTGGTCAATCAAATAACCTTTTACATTAAAACCTTTGCCACAAATCAAACATGAGAATGGTTTCTCACCTGTGTGAGTTCTGATATGTCTATTAAGACTAGATTTCAGAGTGAAGCTTTTTCCACAGGTCATACAAAAAGGTTTCTTGACACTATTAACAGGCTCCTGCTTTAGAACAAGCTGCTCTTCATGCTCGCTTATGGGGAGCTCCGTGGTTTCCTCTTTTGTCCAGGGAGGTTCTGGTTCTTTCTGCTCTTCTTTTATCTGCAGAGCTTCTGGTTTCTCTTGGTCCAAACTGGAATGCATCTCCTGTTCATATAGCTGCTGGTCAGAGAAATCCTCCTCTTTTCCAACATAATTCTGAAGGTGATCTGAAAGACAAACACAGCAGGAAGACTTCCTATTAGCAGGTAAATAAAGAACACTTCACATAAAAGCACCAAACTCTGTCCTTGAGTTTGAGGAGCTAGTGGATAACATCAAGCAACCTTAAGGTATGAAGTTCATTCTGGCCTAAATTTGTTTCCTCACAAATAATTATTAAAAGAAGTAAAGTATTTACATCCGACACCACAGTGACTCGCTTTCAAATGAGGATGTAATGCGACATTCTAGCCTCAGCAGTGCTTCCTGTTCACTTTGGCGAGCAAAAGACACATCTCGGATGAATGTGTCAGAGGCTGAGCAGATTTTACATGACTTTCTAAAGAAGGTTCTGTCTTCTATCAGATTAAAAAGAAGCATTATAGCAATAGCGAAAAACAGGCTTGAATGATAAGACCCATCTGGAACAGCTTCCTAATTTTTGTTAGAAATGTAGCAATTAGCAGGGCAACAGGGCTGTTTTTTCTGTAAAAATTGTTTGCACCATAAAATGAAGTGAGAACAGTTATAAAAAAGCTCACAGCGCTGGAAGATTTTCAGTTGTTTATTTTCTGCTCCTGAATGCGGACAAAACAGAAGTTATAGTCTTTGGACCAGAGTCTTTGAAAAAGAAGCTGATTAGTCAGTCACTTCATTCGGATAGGATTAAATTGATTTCAGATAATAAAGGAAACAATCTTGGTATTGTTTTTGATCAGGACCTGTCATTTAAATCCCATATCAAAGAGGTTTCTAGAATTTCCTTCTTTCATCTCGAGACCATTGCAAAAATTAGAAATATCCTGTCCAGGAGTGATGCTGAGAAACTAGTCCATGCATTTGTTACTTCAAGGCTGGACTATTGTAATTCTTTACTATCAGGAAGTCCACAAACTGTAGTTAAAACCCTTCAGATTTCTGTGAGGCAGGCAGACACCCTGTCTACTTTTAAGGCTAGGCTTAAAACTTTCCTTTTTGATAAAGCTTATAGTTAGAGTGGCTCAGGTTATCCTGAGCTATCTCTATAGTTATGCTGCTATAGGCTTAGACTTCTGGAGGACATAGGGAGCCCTATTTCATTATTCTGTCTCTATTCTCCCACTCTGAAGAATCTGTTAGTTCAATCTCTAATGTTACGCACTCTCTGCCTTTTAGTGGCTTAGCTTTTAGCTTGTCACAGCTAACATCCATTTATTTGGCTCTCCCTTGTAAGGTAAAAGATGTAAAAAAAAAAAAAAGAATTGGCTATGAAGCTGTTCTGGAGCCTCTTTTGAAAGATCTCACAATATTTGAGAAGGAAGGAATTATTTTTGCCTCAGGTTAGTTGAAATATCAATGGCGCTGTTTATTGGGTTTCAGCTGACAATCTTGGTGCTCCTTCTTTGGGTGGGCTTGCAGAAAACTTTTCTGGACATTACATCTGTAGGTTTTGTATTGGACACCATTCGGACTATCAGCAAAAGGAAGGGTGATAGGGAGCTTTTCAACCAAGAACAGAAGAGAACTATAATTTACATGTTCAATGTCTAAAGGAAATCATACTCTGGTACACTGTTATGGTGTGAAGAAAGGTAGTCCCATAACCAGTAAAATTAAGTTATTTTCATTTTCTATCGGGGTACCGCCAGATATTCTACATGATCTTTTTTGAAGGCATGATTCCATTGGAATTGGCAGTGTGTCTTAATGTGTTCATCCGCTAACAGTATTTCACTTTGACAGAACTTAACCATTCCTTACAGATGGCCTAAAAAAAATGATCAACCCCAACCAATCCCAACAAATATTACTCTGTCTAATCTGGCTAACAGAATAACAATGCACATGATGTATAAAGAATAAACCTAACAATATCTAGGATTATAAATCAGCATGTAACTGCTATGATTATGTCAGTACTTTCAATATAGCCAATGAGAGACAGGTTTACTAAGTGACATACATTTTGAAAATATCAACCGCAAAAGCCGCTATACAGGTTAGGTGGACAAAGGAGATAGAAATTAACAGTACTTGCTGATAACCACTTGTATAGCAACATTTCTTGAGACCAGACCTGATGCATAAGGTTGCTACATTTCCTGCTTCTATGTTGGAATTAATTTACCTTTCAATTTTACTAAAACACAGTTCTACACTGCAGTACGTTAGCGCTATAAACTAGTGCTAACATGTTGCCAAACTACTGTAATCTGCAATCTAGCCTTGCGAGCATACCACTGCAAACATTTCAAAACAGTTAATCATACCTCTAGATCTCGCTGAAGATCAGACAACCCATTTCTCGTCTACACTTGTTGGATTTTCTTTTGTTTTTTATTGCTACAAAGAATAAATATTATTTCAGCAAGTTGCAGCGACACAGTATCCATTTTGTTTACATGCGCTGCGCTTCTCCATGAGATCGCATCACGTGAGGTGTTAAATCTGGCAAGATAATCTTAAGAAAATCGCCACAATTTTCAAATCTTGTAGTGAGAGCATGTTTAAGATTTCAGGTAGGAAAATCTGCAAAGATTCTCCTTTAGTGTGCGCTGCAACCAGATTTCAAAATCGGTTAGGATTTTAAAACTCCTGTAGTTTGAGCAAGGCTTTGGTAATGACATTTGTTTATAAAAAAAAAAAAGAACTATCCTACCATTATGTCTGCATCTGTCTGTTTTTCTGAGCCATGACTGAGTTTGTTTTGTTTTTATTCTTGCTACTAGCATCTACTTAGCATCCCTCCGAAAATACTAGCTATTCTATTCTGCCAATGTTTAAAATATTTAATCTTGATTTGATTGACATTTTTACATTTCTTTTAGTTATTTAAAAAAATTCTGTTCTGCAGGGTGGGGTATCCATTCAGCAAAAACGAGAGGTCATCATTCGATGTCTTATTAATCATCTAGGAGAAGATGCATGTTCCTTGATGAAGAACTTTGAGGTTAGTAAAATTGTTTTTCGGATTTTAAGTGCTGCTTTGTAAGTTTTAAGCAATTTATTAATTAATGCGAGATAAGGTCAGCCGCTCTACTGATTGTAAACATGGCAATGGCTTCAGCTGTAGCCTAATTAATTTAAGTTAAAATTATATGTCACATAACTTTACCTCATGGGCCTTCATCTAGTTTTACGGGTATGTTATTCCAGACGTATTCCCTTCTGTCGTTTGTCACGATAACACATTTTTAAAAAAGAAATTAATTGTCTCAAAAATTATTGCGATAAACGATAATATTGTTTTAAGACCTGTTTACATTGATTTAATGGAAATGACGTGATAATGCATGCATGCATTTATCTTTGGCAGGGCGGTGAGCACAGGGCCCGACGTCTTCTAGTGGGCCCTGTGCTCACCGTCTAGCACCATGGACCTCGATTGGCATTTGCCACAGAACACTGGAATTGACATGTCTGTCACCAGCACCCTGTGCTTTTCACAGATGAGAGCAGGTTTACCCTGAGCAACAATGACAGAAGTGAAAGGGTCTGGAGAAGCCGTGGAGAACATGCTGTCTGTAACATCGTTCAGCATGACCGGTTTGGTATAAAATCCTTGCACCCATTGCCAGACCCTATGCTGGTGCAGTGGGTTCTGGGTTCCTCCTGGTGCATGACAATGCCTGGCCTCATGTGGCGAAAGTATGCAGGCAGTTCCTGGAGGATGAAGGAATTGATAACATTGATTGGCCCCCAAGCTCGCCTGACCTAAATCCATCCGACGCTGCCAGGTTGTACCTCAGACTGTCCAGGAGCTCAGTGATGCCCTGGTCCAGATATGGGATGAGATACCCCAGGACGCCGTCCGTCGTCTCATTAGGAGCATGCCACAACATTTTCAGGCATGCACGTGGGGGCCATAAAACTTAATGAAAACCGTTTTGAGTTGCTGCAACGAAATTTCAGCAAAATGGACTAGCCTGCCGCAGCATTTTTTCACTGTAATTTTTGGGGTGTCTTTGAATTCAGCCTTCTGTAGGTTGATCATTTTCATTTCAATCAAATGATGTGGCATCCTTTTGTTCCTAACACATCACCCAGTCCATATCAGTATAAATAAACAGCTTGATTTTTGCCCCATTGAGATCTGATGTGTTTTCAAAGTGTTCCTTTAATTTTTTTGAGCAGTGTACATATACACAGACACACACACATACATATATATGCACATTCTTCAGCTGTGAAGGAGTACGGCTTTCTTCCGTTTGATTTGAGCTAAGCAAGCAACAGTAGTAACATGGCTGAATGGGAGACTGTGTTGAAGGAATTAAGAGTCTTCTGAGAGGAAAATAATGCGCATCTGGGGGAAATTAAAGAAGAAATACAAAGATGAGCGCCAGACTTGACAAGACAGAGGATCATATTGAAAAAGTGGAGGAGAGGATTTTAATCACGGAGGACGCCATCGCTGAAATAA